CCACTTCAAACCCCTCCGAGCCATACATGAAGCAAACCGACACCCACTATGAAGATGCAGCACGACCACGAACTCGAAGCCAAACAGCAAGATCACAGCTCACCAACTGAAATCCCCCAGCAACTAAGACTAACCTGAGCACAACCAAGCTCCCACCTGAACAGAACACGCCTCCAACCAATCAGAACACGGCTACCCCCCCAACCAATCAGAACACAGCCAAACCCCCTACCAATGAGAACACACCCCCACCCAATCAGAACACAGCCAAGCCCCCACCCAATCAAGTCCCACCCCCACTAGCAGTTAAAAGGAAGAAGCAGCTGCAATCTCACATCACTCTGAGAAGCACAGAGCCGGAGACAGAAGCCTGAAGATGATGAATGAGACTTCATCGAAACGTTGCCTAGATACTTCGAATCTTACGCGGGAGAAAACCCGAACAACCAAAGATCCATATATATATATATATGTGTGTGTGTGTGTGTGTGTGTGTGTGTGTGTGTGTGTGTGTGTGTATAAATGAAACCACTTACAAAAATGACAAACTCTTGAAGAAACTAAAGAAATTAGAACATGACAAGAAAGCCCCCAAAAACTCACAACATCTGAAACAATTAGTATATAACATTTCCAACAGAGAACTCACCAAAACAGAAACAGATGTCCTAACCAAAGGATTCAATTATGCTATAGCACCCAAAAGAATCCCCACAGAATCCATCATATATGCAGTAGAATCCAGCCTAACTAAATTAAATACAGATGAAGCTGATAGAATAAGACACCAAGTTACTAACATCCTATGCACAAGCAAACCACCCAAAAGCAACTTGCACAAAGAAGAACTAAAAGTGCTGCAAGCCCTAAAAAAAGGATAGCAGCATAATCATACTTCCAGCAGACATGCCACAGTAGTAATGGATAGAAAAGACTATGAAACAAAATTGACAGACCTACTCCAAGACTCCACATACAAACCCATAAACACGGACCCAACCACATACCTGGAAAAAATAACCAAGAAGAAAATTATAACCAGCCACATGAGCAAAGAGATCCAACAGATGATCATCCCAAGAGAAAAATCTTCCAGATGCCCCAAACTATACAGCCTCCCAAAAATACATGAAGAAGGCATACCTCTCAGACCCATAGTCAGCTCCAGAGGAGCACCATTACAAAACCTAGCTAAACACTTAGCAAAACAGCTACAGCCCCACACTGAAACAGCAACTTCACATATACAAAACTCATACCACTTCTTGGAAATGATCAAAGATCTACACGTGGAACAAGAAGATCTGCTTGTAAGTTTCAATGTGGTTTCACTATTCATTCAAGTCTCGATAAAAGAAACCCTTGAAACCATCAAAAATAAATACCGACCAGCTAAACACCTCATGGAACTAGCAGAACACTGCTTAACCAACACTTATTTCATATACAAAGAACAAAGATACAAGTAAATTGAAGGAGCCCCTACGGGATCACCACTGTCACCGTCATTACAAACCTGTTCATGGAAGAATTTGAATCCAGAGCCCTGGCTAATGCCACCCACAAACCCAAACTATGGTTAAGATACATCACTGACACATTTGTGATTTGGCCCCATGGAAAAGAAAACCTAAACAATTTCCTAACACACCTAAATAGCACACCCCCCCAAATCAAGTTCACCATGGAAATGGAAACAAACAAACAACTACAATTCCTAGATGTATAATCTACAAAGAAACAGAGGGCACACTAGGACACACCATATACCAGAAGAAAACACACACCAACCTCTACCTCAACGCCCAATCCCACCACCACCCAGCACAGATAAACTCCATGGCCAAAACACTAATAGCCAGAACCAAACTCCTGGCAGACAACACACACATAAAGACTGAACTATGCACCCTGACTAAAGTACTGACAGCCAACAGCTTCCACAAAAGCAAAATCACTGGCTTGATCCACAAAAACACACTAAGACATAATGGAGACCTAGAAGATGAACAGACCTATGGAACAGCTGTCCTGCCCTACATAAGAGGTACTACAGTCAAAATCAGCAAGATACTACACAGGCATCACATCAAGACTGCCTTCAAAACAGACAGAAAAATAACAGCCATCCTTAGAAACCCCAAAGATAAAATTGACCTGGAAAATCAAGGCATGTATGAAGTCCGCTGTGCATCATGCCTGGCCACATAGATTGGACAGACCAATAGAACAATAAGTACCCGCCTAGATGAACACAAAAATGCAGCAAAAAAGCTGGAACACACACACCTCCTCACTAGTCCAACACATGAAAGCCACAAGTCATAGCATTAACTTCAATGGCACCAAAACCCTAGCCACTATAGAAAACCCAAGCCACAGAATTATCAGAGAAGCCATAGAGATTGAAAAAAGACCTGAAAGCATGAAGAGAAGAGATGATTCCACCAGACCATCTATTATCTGAAAGTCTGCACTCACAAACAAAAAAGCTCCACACCACAAGCCAAGCAAACATCTTGGCACAAACAGACACCCCCCCCCACCCAGCCAGATACCTCTAGCCCAAACACACACCAACCAGCCACCCATATGAAACCTAGCTTCCTAATAAATGATAGCTGGTCATTCACCCGAAGCCAAACCCCAATACAGGAAACACAAGGTTGTCAGCTAATCAAGACAAAAAAACACTACAAAACAGACAGAAGATACCAGAAACACCAATCAAGCAGAACACAGCCAACTCCAAGACCAATACACACAGACCAAGACTTCCAACCAATCAGGATGAAGAAAAAACCATTCTAACAAAGCATGAGGTCAGTGCCAAATTTAAAAAGAATGGCTGCGAAAGCCTGACACACATGACGAAGATGAACCCAATACATGACCCTGACGATGGCAGATGAGATTCTACGAAATGTTGCTACAACTTTAAAAGCACAACTATAAAGACGTGGGAAAAAACCTGAACAAAGCTGAATACCATACATATAAATACCCATGAAAACATAAAAAAACATAGATAGATAGATAGATAGATAGACAGAGAAATAGAGATAGAGATAGAGATAGATAGAGATAGAGATAGAGATAGAGATAGAGATACAGGTGTGTGTGTGTGTGTGTGTGTGTGTGTGTGTGTGTGTGTGTGCGCACAAGGATCCGGGACACTCAAAAAGTTTGTTGGTTGACTTTTTTCAGATACATAATATTCTACCTGCGGAACATAATGACCAAAAAGTTTAAAAAAAGATAAGAATGCTTCTGAAGAGCTTGTTTCATATGTGTATGTGATATATCTAATATATCTGTGTCAAAAGAAAATATTTCCTTAATTATGTCACATATACTGGATATGCGCATATCACTGTTAATCAATATTTTTAAAATATGTTTCCAACTAGTTATTGATATGTAAAAACGTTTTCCCCTGGGCATATTTACTTTTTAGAAGGTGATTTCTTCATTAAATTCAAAATCTAAATGCAGTTAAGGTGCTTCGGGTTATTATTTTAATCATTTTAAGGCAAAAAATAATTAATTACAGACAGTTTGGTGCTTCCCCTCTGAAGCCTAAAATTGACTTTTCTATGAGTACTGCAGCTCTGGTAATTCTGGACCTCCTATCAAATATACTAAGCAATAGTCCCAATCCAATCCTTAACAAATTAAGGATGAAGGGATACTACCTTGTAGGCAGGACTTGGATCTTGAACAATTTCTATTGTTATTTTGTTATTAGAGCTATTTTCTTGCAGATGTGTTCTTACTTGTTGATACTTTTGCTCTAGTATCATTTAAACTTGTTCTTAGTTCTTAGCTGGCTTCATCTTGTTTTAATCTTCTTACATTCAATATCTTTTATATTGTTTCATTTTATAATCTTAATATTCTACTATTATTTTATTTTATGGTATGCCATATATTGTGATGTCATTATTTGCCTCCTTCATATCCAAATATATTTGAGAATGTCATTTTATTCTTGCGAACCATTTTGCATATGTGTTTTAATATTGCCAACGGAGGCTAGCATTACAGTTTTATACTGTCTGAAGAGTAAGAAATGTAGAACTCTAAGGAATGTGAAATCAGAGAGCCACACAAAATTCTAACCACTATTTTTAACAAAATACAGGAACGTGAAATTTGTATTTTAAGTCTTTGTTTAATCTTAAGGAAGAGCATAACATGGTGCTCATGAACCTTTGCAATTCCCACCTGTCCAAAATATGCATTATGGATCTCTTTTTGAAAATATTCAAGCAAACATATCTGAAAAAGGATTGATAAGTGTCAAAGGACTCCTCATATCACAATGAATACCACCATCTAAGAGCATTTGTGTAATATACTCTGTAAGCATCTAGTGAAATAAAGATACTGCATGAGTTATGAAATCACCCTCTTCAATTCTTAAGCAACCATAATGATATTTAATCACCCACCTACAAAATAAAATAAAAAGTGTGTTTTAAGGTGTTTACCCATTATCCTTAGATTCGTTGTAAAAGACCTTTAAATTGAGCATTATTAAATTTCCATTATGAGAAGGTTGTACTTCTGGGCTATTTTAATGTATTTTAACCCCACCCCACCCATTATCAGGTTTGTTAAATTAGAACATGAGTATTTCCCCTTATAGAGTACAGACCCTTGGGAAACATCCCACAGCGCTTAGGAAATCTCTGATTCACTGAGGCTCGATTATATTTCCAATAGAATCTAACTCACTATATTTGGAGGAAGAGGCTAAAGATCATATGCCATTTATGGCTCTATACCATACAACTTTAGAAATGGTTTCATGAATAAAGATGGTGAGTTACCTTTAATTACAGTTATTTCTCCATGTCTCTGCAAATATTAACTTTGGTTTTCTTGTCTATTCTCTTATAATAATAAGCCCAGTTAAAATAGATTAGATATTTTAATATATTTTATATCATTATTTTTCAGACAGTTTTATTTTGGAAATGAAAACAAGATAAGATCTTATTAAAGATGTTAGAGCATTTAAAAATAAAATATTTAGCATTACCTCCCACAAAATTGTTCTCAATTACCATAGCAGATATAATCAAATAAATTTAAAGACTAAGCTTAACCCTGATAGATTAGAAGATTCAGCATGTTTTCTTTTCACTAGCTAACAATGAAGATTCATTGTTAAATCTATAAGCAGCCTACAAAGGTTCTAGATTGAAACAAGTTTTCAGAATTTCCTTTCTAGCTTTCACATGATAGGATTAAGAAATAGTAGTATCTGGAGGATTAAATTTTATTTGGAGATTTCCAAATTTTTAAAGAATACATTTTAGTGATATTGTTTTTTCCTGAGGGAGGGGACAAAATTTTCATCAGCAGTTCAAAAATGCATTTTTTGTAGCTCAGTGCTAAAAAGAAAATGGTTTGTAAAGCCATTTTAAAATACAACATATTAGAAAGCAAGAGTGTAACTATCTCAATATAGCAGAATTCCACAAAGTTCAAACAAGTAGGGACTTTAAACATAATTATTCTCTAGAGGAATGATTCCCCCAATTTCTATTTTTCTGCACTTTGTTCTTTGAACATATTTTTTTTTGCTTTTTTTTTTTTACAAAAAAGTTGTATTATAAACCATACTGACATTTTATAACAGAAATTTACAAAAAAAGTTGTATTATAAGCCATACTGACATTTCATAGCAGAAATTGACAATTCAAATGATGGAGAGAGAAAGTTTCCCAGAATTCATTCAGAGACAGAGACTGCTGACAGCTACATTATAATATTGCTACAATACAAGTAATAGTGATTTAAACCAAATTTTGGGAAGCAGAATATTGAATGCAATCAAACTTAATAAAAAAAAGATTTCATTCCTCATTTCCAAGAAATATAATGGACATTTATTGAACATCAAACAGATCCTATTCATATTTTTTCAAATGCATATTTAATTGCTCCTCCCTTTTTTTCTAGGGAGAACATGCTCAGAATTAAAAAATGCACAATTACACATCTGAGTTTCTTCTTTTGGAATTCTCAAAGATTTGGGAGATACAAATTATATATGGAGCTTTATTACTGATACTGTATTCAATGACATTAACAGGGAATCTTCTAATCATCATTGCAATTTTTTTTGACCACCATCTTCACATCCCCATGTACTTCTTCCTGATGAATTTAGCTATACAAGACATTGGTTCAGTTTCAGTCATTATTCCCAAAGCCATTTTTAATTTGCTTACAAATACAAGGCACATTTGTTACTCAGGATGTGTAACTCAAGTCCTCATGTTTGTTTTCTTTGTGGGCTCTGACATTGCTGTCCTGACTCTCATGGCCTATGATCGGTATGTTGCCATCTGCAATCCTTTACAATATGAAATAATAATGAATAGGACAGCCTGCACCAAAATGATTAATTGTGTATGGATCGCCAGTTTTTTCAACTGTGTATTGAACACTGTTGGAACATTCACTACCCCTTTCTGCTCTCATATTATCAATCAGTTCTATTGTGAAATCCCACATTTACTAAAGATTGCATGCAATGGATCATACAAAACTGAAACTGAAGTTGTATTGTTCAGTTCTACATTAGGATTCGGTTGTTTCATATTTATTGTCATTACCTATGTGAAGATTTTTGCTGCTGTTCTAAACATTCCGTCAGTTCAGGGAAGGAAAAAGACATTCTCCACTTGTCTACCACACCTCACTGTCTTTTCCATATTTTTGTTTACTGCCTACTTTGCTTATCTAAGGCCCATATCTGACAATCCTTCAAACCTTGATTTTGTAATTACAGTAATGTATTCTGTTGTGCCCTCCACGCTAAATCCATTAATCTACAGTTTGAGAAATAAGGATATCAAAGTTGCTCTTTCAAGATTTCTTAGCCTGAGAGCATTTTTTAAAAGAACTAATAAATGAAATTTTATCTGTTATTTCAGTTTTAGATGTAATTAAAACCAAATACAAACTATTAAAAGATGATAAAATGTAATTGAATTACACTGCAAGCTTTTGGCATCTCTTTTAAAGGAAATATATGAAAAACAGATATATTCATAGAAAGTTCAAGAAATATTTAATAATGTTCCTACATTTGATTTTTTTTGTTATTGTTATATTTGCTTACCAAATGCCTATTTCTAGCAGACTAGATTTTGATTTTATAATTACAATATTGTATTCCATTATTCCACCCATGCTGAATCCAATGATCTACAGCATATGAAACAAAGACCTCAAAGCTGCTCTTTCAAAATTTCTCTGGTCATTTGTTTTTGAAAAGTCCTGGAACTGCATTTCTACTTATTCATCTATGTCAATGGGAAGGAGAAAATGAAATGAAATGTGCAAATGTATAGAGTACATTGTTTATACAACATATACTATATCAATTACTATGTATGTGTGTATGAATATGCATGTATTTATGCATATATGTATATGTGTATATATGTATGTATTTATCTGAACCACTTATCCTTATTGATATAGATATAGCAGAACACTGTACTGTGTTTGATTTCAGTTCAGTTTTAATGAAGCTAAATTTAAAATAATGATTCTGCTGTTTTCTTTTTTTTTCCTGTCCACCTTCATTTTTTGGAGCTGAAGGTGAAAAACTTTCTTGCTTTTTTTCCCCTTGAAAGCATTTAACTTCTCATCCTAGAAGCTTCTTCAGTTCTGACTTCTTACTGACTTTTTCCATATTTTTGCTTAATGCTTATTTTCCTTACATCAGGTCTCCCTCTAACGCTCTATCAAATGTTGACTTTATAATTAAAATATATGGCATAAGAAATAAGGCATTGAAGTTGCTCTTTCAAAACTTACATGGCATTTCTTTTTGAAAAAAAATGAATTGTGTGTCTTTCCCTCTTTGTGTATGTCAAGAAGAAAGAGAAAAAGAATAAAGAATAACATTAATTTTCTCACTTGTAGACACATTAACTTAATATAAAAAGATTTTGATGACAGAGATATGAAATATTATTCATTCATCAAGGTACACTATATACAGCTGAAACATATTTGGAAATAACATAGACTTCTATATTTCTTTATGGTAGATTAGCTGGCAAACTATGTATAATGAGAAATCTTTGAGAAAAATAGAATAAAATACATGTTTTCATTTATCTTGATTAAAAAAATATATGAAAGGATGGATATAAAACTGAGGGTAACTGAATATTCTACTATGATTTAATAACAATCTGCAATTAATTATAATCACCAGAATGTTTTTAATTTAATTTCTACAATTGGAACCAATTGAACTTCATAATTAAGACTGACTCATCCTAAATTTTGCTAATTCAGATTCAGAATGCTCACAGGGACAAACGATTCTTAAATTTGAAGAATGGGAAGAATGTTTCTTTAATATTCATGAATGATATTAAAGCAATTTGCTTTAATAGATATTTAGTCCTATCCAAAAAGGTACTACACATGAAAATAGTCCTGAAGGGAAGAAGAGGATGCTACATCCAGCCAATAATTGTTCCATAATCTGCCTATATTACACGTATGGCATTCAGCTTTGTTCGGGTATTTTCCCACGTCATTGTAGTTGTGCTTTTAAAGTTGTAGCAACGTTTTGGCAGAATTTCATCTGCCATCACCAGGCTTCTGTTTATATATATATAAAATATAAAAATTATATTGGCACCATTTACGTTCTATGTATGAGGACATTCATCAGGGGAAACGCCCTTTGCAAGAGTTTGTTGCAGAGTTTCGTCTGCTCTGCATGGACTCTGCTTGGAATGAGGCAGCCCACATGGACGCTTTTCAGGAGGGTTTGGCAGAAGAAATTCAAGACGAGTTGGTGCATGTGGAGCCGGCTCTAACCCTGGATGCTCTGGTGGTGCAATGTTTGACTGGGAGGTTTGAGCCTGCTGTGCGCTTTGAGTCTGATGTGTCAGAAGACACAGATTCGAGGGTTTGGCATTGGAATTTGAGCCTGCTTTAATGGGAGATGCAAACGTGAGCCAGGAGGATGAGGAAGTGTCTGAATCATCATCCTCTCCAGAACCTTCCACATCAATTGTGCCTCAGGTGTCAGCAGCTGATCCACAGAACATGCCAGAGTCTTTGAGTGGTGATCAAACTGACGAATGTTGGGTTGATGCAAGGACTAGACATAGGCTGAGACGTCAAACACAAATTGAAAGGACACATCAAATCAGAGACTAATTAGAGAGACTGATACACCCCTTCAAGGAATATAAGGAGGTGTGTTAGCTAGAGATCCTTGTTAGGGTCAAACTTTGTTAATTACACTCACAGTTTGGAAGAAGCCTTCTGTTTGCCTTTCAGATTTGATTTATCATGCTGCTCGTTATCTGGGTTTGTAGACAGCTTCTGGGAAAGCTGCCAACGATTACAGAGAAAGTTAACTCTGTTGTTCCTGATATTGTCTGTTCATGCTTTTTCCTTTGGACATTTGGACTCTCACCTTGTGGCCACAGGTGAGACAGAACATTTTTGACCCGAACCTTCATCTCATCTTCTAACCAAAATGGACAAAACACAATTAGAGCAGCAACAGTTACAGATTAACCAGCTTCTGCAGGATAACCAGGTATTGCAGAAACAAGTCACCCAGCTGGTTAATCACCTTACGTTGATGCAAGCTCCTGCTGCTCCTGCCCCTCCCCATAGGAAATGCCCGGTAGCTGTGCCAGATAAATTCTCTGGACAGCCTGAAATGTTCCCAGCTTTTATGGGGCCGTGTCAATTATGTATGTCTCTTCGGCCAGAAGATTTCCCTGATAACCGGGCTCAGGTGGGGTTTGTTATCAGTCTCTTGTCAGGTTCAGCTGCAAGATGGGCCACTCCTTTGTTGGTGCAAAATATTCCTTTATTGAATGACTATCAGGGCTTTTGGCACCATTTACGTTCTATGTATGAGGACCCCATAAAAACTCAAACCATAGCCAGACGTTTAAAGGACATTCATCAGGGGAAACGCCCTTTGCAAGAGTTTATTGCAGAGTTTCGTCTGCTCTGCATGGACTCTGCTTGGAATGAGGCAGCCCACATGGACGCTTTTCAAGAAGGTTTGGCAGAAGAAATTCAAGACGAGTTGGTGCATGTGGAGCCGGCTCTAACCCTGGATGCTCTGGTGGTGCAATGTTTGCGCATTGATGCGCGGCTTCAATGGCACAAGACTAGATGCCCAGTTCCAGAGCAGCCCTCCCCTTCAAGGCCGCAGCAACATCCTGTGCAACCAACGCCCCAGGTCTCCCACAGTGCCGTGACCAGGACCAAGAAACCAATGGAGTTGGGTGTGGTCCGCCCTCGTTTGATGGCACAAGAACGCACGCGGAGATTCCAGGGAGGCTTGTGTCTGTATTGTGGGGGGTCTGGACATTTTGCAAGTTCCTGTCCTGGTAAACAACGGGGGACACGAAAGCCAGTGCCCAAATCTAATCTTGTACAGTCAGGGAAACAAGGTCAGTGTGGTCTTGGGGAAACTCTAAGCCAGACAAGTATCAAACAACCACCCAAAGTAGCGGAGGTGAACCCTGGTCCTCCCCAACATTTGCTTTTGGACATGCAGGTTTGCTTACAGTCCCGGTCAGAGGGGATTCCTGCGGTTGCATTAGTGGATTCGGCGGCTACAACCAGCTTTATGGACCAGGCTTTTGCAACACATTTTGACATTCCCTTGGTTGCTGTGGAGCCTCCCAATAAAGTGGAAACCATTGATGTGCAAGAACTGCGGTCTGGGCCTATTTGTTTTGCTACTCAGCCAGTACACCTGGTCATTGGGGACCATGAGGAGGCGATTAGTTTTTACATCACATCGGACCTCCATCTCCCCTTGGTTCTCGGAATGGCTTGGCTACGGTTGCATGATCCTCGGGTAGCATGGGCACAGACCGCCATTTTGTTCCCGAGTCTCCAGTGTGTGGACCATCTACAACACACCTGTGCTGGTCAAGACATCGCTGCCCCCACCGTCTCTATACCTCCTGAACTATCTGACTTTTCAGATGTTTTTAGTGCGGTTTGTAGATAATTGGCAGCTTCTGGGAAAGCTGCCAATGATGACTATAGAGGAAAGTTAACTCTGTTGTTCCTGATATTGTCTGTTCGTGCTTTTTCCTTTGGACATTTGGATTCTCACCTTGTGGCCACAGGTGAGACAGAACATATATAGATATAGAGAAGCACAGAACATATATATATAGAGAGAAGCACAGAGCCGAAGAAAGAAGCCTGAAGATGATGAATGAGACTTCATCGAAACGTTGCCTAGATACTGCCAATCTTACGCGGGAGAAAACCCGAACAACCAAAGATCCACATACAAATACCCGCGAGAACCTCAGAAAACACACACACACACACACACACACACACACACACACACACACACACACACACATATATATATATATATATATATATATATATATATAT